AAAAATCCCAGAGTATAAAAAAATAAAAATAGTAAAATACCTGACAACCATACTTGCGGCGCACTTATGCGGTGCGCCGTGCGGTGCGCATGCGCCATGCGCCATGCGCAAATTTTGATGCACTCAAATTTTTTTTTTTTTTTTTTTTTAGGGGTGTATGTGTACACCAGGGAGAGAGAGAGAGAGAGGGCAGATCCGCTTAGCACGGCTCAAACGGCCCATGCAGGCAATCTGGAGGGTCCTCGCAGCACTAAACTGCAGACCCTCTATCAAAATCGAAGCCGGTAGTGAGTATGAAGTAGAGCACGAGCTGGCCCAATATATCCTCAGGATTGAAGTTCAGGTCTGTGTTTCAGCAGTTATGGGTTGCTCATGTAGCTAGGCAGTGTTGGTCTGCAGAGTCTGCACGTGATTCTCAGGGTTTGGCTGCACTACTCACGTAATGTGCAAATTTGCAAACTTAGAAAGAATCTACCGCAGAATGTGGAATTATACATCTTTTGTGTATGTGGTGAGTAACGGCCCTTAGGGCCACTACACATATTCCTAAGAAAACGAAAACTAGAAAAGAAAAGAAATAGTGAGCAAATTTGCAAAATTAGAAAGAATCTACCGCAGAACGTGGAATAATACACCCCATATGTTTTGTCTTTTGTGTATGTGGTGAGTAACGGCCCTTAGGGCCACTGCACGTATTCCTGAGAAAAGGAAAACATGAAAACAAAAGAAATAGTGACCCATAACCGAGAATCCGAGATGCACATCCCTGAATTCGAAACCAGAGTATATATTCTCTGCTCACGCTGGTGACTGGAAGTTTGAAGTTTGCCTCTGCTGCACGTAGGGTCCTAGCTAATTCGCTATAAGGGCCCTTCGAAAAAGAGGCTGGACATAATTAGGAAATGAATACTCGCATGTATAGACGAGTGCCAACAGTTTCGGGGTATCCCGTGGCCCGAACTTTTCTCCCTCTTGTTTTCTAATTTTTAGAAGTGAGGGGAGTGCTTGGCCACCCCGCTCTGAACTTTCAATTTTTTATTATTATTATTTTTTTTGATGCGCCGCATCACGTCGGGCGCATCTCATGCGCGTGCGCTTTGCGCCGCATGTGCCGCGCCCCTGCGCATGAGATGCGCCGCAAGTATGCTGACAACCCCCCAAAAAAAAAAACACAAAAGAGACAAAAAAATCAGCGTTTCAAAGACTTTTTACTAAATTTTAGCAGAAGAAAGTTTTTTTTTTTTTTTTTTTTGGCTAATTAGAGGCTTTTTTAGAGCTTAAAATTCAAGTTTGAAACTTCAAACCAAAAATAAATAGGTTGCAAACATTGTAAAAAGCTCCAAACCACTCACAAAAAATGAGGTCTTAAAAATGAAAAACCCTACTCCCAATGAAAAACACTACATCCTTGCCCTTGCGCAAGGATGGCATGCAGAAATCGAGAAATAGATTTGAATAACCGACCTAGGTTGTTTTCCCGAGCACCCGGACAGCCCCACGCCTCCAGTGCAAAAAAAAACAAAATCCAAAAAATTTCGAAAAAATAAAAATTATGTCGAATTGCAATGCAAAGTTGCAAACTGCTTTTCGCTGAGGGTCACAAAAGAGTTCCTCAGCGAATCAAAGATAAAAAGAAGAATTACAAAATCAGACTAATGGTAGGCATATTCAAGACAATATTCTCCTTATTAATGAAATGGTTAAATTATCTAGACAATCCAAACAAAATGCAGCCTTCATTTTTATTGATTTTGAAAAAGCTTATGATCACGTAGATTGTTTTTTTTTGGATGCTTGCCTGGTTAAAATGAACTTTGGTCCTAATTTGAGGAAATGGGTTCGTATCCTTCACTCCAATGCCACGACGAGAATTCAAGTAAATGGGCTTATCTCTCCAGAAATTAAGTTACAAAGATCTGTCAGACAAGGAGACCCTTTGGCGCCATTCCTTTTTTTAATTATTATGGAAGCATTAGGGGATAACCTCAGAACGAATCGTAATTTGCAGAGACTACGTATCTCGGGTATTCCAGAAGAAGCCATTCCAGTTTGCTCCATGTTTGCAGATGATCTCACAGTCATGATGGATGCAACATATGATAATATGRTAGAAATTCAAGCTTTGATGGAAAAATTTTCATATGTCTCAGATATGGTGGTTAATTGGGGTAATAAAACTCAGGGCTGGTGGATTCATTCCGCGGGGGATAGGCCTCCAGAACAACCCAGAGTAAAATGGTTACCTCTAGAAGCCCCTATTCGCATCCTAGGTGTTTCTCTTACGGCAGTGGGGAAACCTATGACTCATGATGATTGGGTGTCGAGACCGGCGATTGATAAAATGCAACAATGGAAGTGCAAGCACACCTCTATATTTGGGAGAGTTCTCATCATTAATAATATTATTTTGGCTTCTATATGGTATAAATCTGCTCTATGGTCTATAAGTAATGTACGCACTAAAACCCTACAGAGACAGGTCACAACTTTTTTATGGAGGGGCAATCATGAGCAGGATAAGGTAATCCCCAGAGTGGCGTGGAGATATTTGATTCAACCTAAAGCTAGGGGAGGTTTGGGAATCCTTGATCCAAATCTTTAGTACCAAGCACTTGCCATACAGTGGGTCAAAAAATTAATCATATCTACTGGAATACCTTGGCAGGTTATGGCTCTTGAACAGATACGTAGACTTGCTCCAGTCTCAAGTGAGGATATACATCCGCTCTCATGATTGAAGATCGCTTTTGGACTATCCCTAGGGCAAGTCTCGCACGGTTCGGAGAGCACTTGTTACGGCTGAATAGAACGTTTTACTACGGTCTATCAGTTTAACTCTTGACTCAATTTATTATTATGGAGAATTATTGTATCAAAATTTGAATATTCGAGAATACTTCGGTTCAATTCGAAAGATAGGGGGAAGAGGAGAGAGAGATAGGGAGGAAGCAAGGAGGGATATGGTTTTAGATAATATGTGGGTAAACTTGTTGAAAATATGGAGGCGTCTACCATTGCCAGACAGACCCTTTCCTACTAGATATGAGGAGATCCTTCGTCAACCACTTTTTGGTAATAGATGGATCACTGACCTAAATGGGTGCATTTTTAACAGTTCTTCCCCTCCATGGTGTCAATGGGTTAAGAAAGGGGTTACACGCATCAAAGACTTATGGGACTCAGGAAAGAAAGATTGGAAAACGGAAGATCAGCTGAGGCCACTCCTTCGTTACGCTCATTATCTCAATACAAATCTAGATCAGATGATTTTTTCGATACCCTTAGCTTGGGTACCAGTCCTTAAGAGAGGTCCCAGATTTAAGGAAGGGGATTAGGTGGTAGGGGTCCAAACTAATGGGCACCAAGTCTTAGGACAGGTGGTCTATATGTCACCACAAGGGGCTATGGTAAGCAAGTGCAAAACAAATAGAGATCTTTTCTTGATTCAGTCCCCTGCGGATCCAGTTGAGATGTTCCCCTTGACACATATGTATCGAATCAGAGTTCTCTTCATCTCCTCTATAAAAGGATGGAGAGCCTTTCATCCGGAAATACCTATTCCGGAACTTCCGCTTGATCCTGCGGAGTGGATATGGCAAACTACTAAGAAAGATCAACCCAGATCGTTACAATCACTAACAGTGATTGCAGCCTATCGTCTGCTGAGGCCAAGAGTGAACATTTCTTCAATTCTCTGGGAAAGATGGGCTAGACACCTTAATTTAGATATAAACCCAATTAAAAAAATATTTTTTTTTAATAAAATCAGACAACGCCCAGCCAAATTCTCATCGTTGCAGTGGCAAATTGCACATCGTTGTCTGCCAACTAACGATTGGATCATAGACCGCTCCTCTTTGGAACAAAAGGGTTTGGCCCTTCCTTGGTGCAAGTCATGTGTAGCGAATTTTCCTAGAAAAAGGTGTAGGGAAACTATTGAACACATTTTTATGCAGTGCCCTGGGTCGGTTCTATTATGGAGGAGATGGGACTATGTTTGGAGGGAGCCCACTGGGTTGGACTGGCCTTGGGAATGGAAAGCTATTCTGGTAGGACATTGGTGCCCACAGGATACCACGCTAACTGCCTTTTAGTCTAATTTTTTCGAAATTGGTAGGAAAGCGGTCGTTTGGGTCCTATGGTATAAACGTTGTGTTTTGGAAAGGGAAAATGTAGCACTGGAGGGATCTGAAATCT